TGTTGCCAGCATCAACTCATCGGGCTTGCTGAGAGTCTTGCGGCTGCCGAGCCCTAACCCTAGACACGGCCATATTCTCGAACAATCCCCGACGCACCCCCCCCCCCTTGCAGAAGATAGCTACTACTGTCTTCAAGTTGTATTGTCTTACAAGTTCCACGTGTGGTCAATCAGGCTTTTGTCTTGTGTTAAAATGTTTCTTTCATTATTCGGACCTAACCACCCAGGCCCCAATCGCCGGGCCGGCCCCGAAACGCGAGCTTCAACGCATCCCGCAGCCGAATTATTCGGGAATCCCATAGGTGGCGCCTGAGTCAGCAAACTGCCCGACTCGCAGGCAAAATGTCGTCACACAGCATCACCACAGCGATTCCATGCGACCCAACTCCTCCCAATTTGGACAAATAGGTAAAGCTTGAGTGAGTTCGTCTTCCCATACCGCCAGAATTCGGCTGCTCTAATGTTTTGGGAACCACAAAATGACCTTAGGTCTCGTTCGTTGAAGTCTCGGATTTAATGCCGGTGTTTAGGGCATTATGACAAGTCCACAAGACACAGCAGTTGAATGCTGTTGCGGGAGAGCAAGCCGGACTTGGTAGAGAAAACCGGACTTGGTATAAATGAGGCCTTTCATAAGTTGAGATGCAAGGGAAATTGGAAGCAGCATCAGCCCAACAGCATAGACAACTTATCTCGCCCCTTTCTCCTAAACAATATATCCCCACAAACCTTCAGCACGACAGCACTGATCAGCACGAAACCGAGCCCTGACACTCCAAAATGTCTCCTACCACCTACCACAAGCTTCAAGATAAGCATGTCCTCGTCATTGGCGGCTCCTCAGGCATCGGACTAGCCGTCGCCGAAGCTGCGCTCGCTTCGGGCGCAAAAGTGACCATATCCTCGTCGTCGCCAGCCAAAGTCATCGCTGCCGTATCAAACCTCTCCACGTCCTACCCAGACCGCACCGTCCGCGGTCTCACCACCGACCTCTCCAAGCCCTCAGCCGAAGCCGACCTAGCAACGCTCTTCGACGCCGCACAGAACGGCCTTGGCTCCATCAACCACGTCGTCTTCACCGCCGCCGACCCCCTCTCCCTCGGCGGCCTAGACAGCGTCACCGCTGATGGGATCCACGCCGCGGCCCATATGCGAATGGTAGTCCCCGTGCTCGTGGCCAAGGTCGCCGCGCGCTACCTGCCTGCGGTCAACACGTCGAGCCTGACCATCACCAGCGGGTCCGTGTCGGAGCGGCCGACCAAGGGGTGGAGCGTCATCAGCTACTTTGCCGGCGGCCTCGTATCGCTCGCTCGGGCTCTAGCCCTGGATCTCGCGCCTATGAGGGTCAATGTGGTGAGACCTGGCTATGTAGATACCGGGCTGTGGGGGCACATGAGTGCTGAGGAGAAGGCGGACATGGTCAAGGGTGTGGAGGCGAAGATGCCGACGGGAAAGTTTGGCGCTGTCGAGGATGTGGCCGAGGCGTATCTCTGGTTGATGAAGGATGGGAATGCTACCGGAGCCGTCGCGGGGACAGACAGTGGCGCTTTACTCGTCTGATGGAGGCTGCTGGTTTCTCGGGGGTAGTACTGGTGTCGACATTGGAGCTTGTGATGCCGAATCGTAGGTATTTTTTGAGGAATAGACTTGGAAATACTAGAGAAGGTTAGACAATCCTTTTTAGATCAGGTCCCCGATGGATTGGGATTGTGATGCATAATACTACGTTGAGCGACTGTCAGGAGCTTGTACGAGTACTGAGAGCACCGAGTACCTAGAGATTGGGTTGAGGTCGAATTGGACTTTGAATTTCAGCGTCAGAATTTCAAATGACTTTGCTTCCCCAGGAAATAGCACGCCATGTGGGCAATAGTATTGGTACTGCAGCAGTTTCACGGATTGGCCAAAGGCGCGTTAATTAACAGATTGGCCAGTGGCTCCGCGTCTAATAAACTGATATGTGTCCGCTACTTGGGGAGGTTAGGCTGCTTGTTGGAGTGCTTCCCGATCAGTGCAACCTAGTCACCCATCATGGGCCATGATCAGGTCGATACTGGATGACACGGCGGTTAAATAAGTGGAAGCTGGTGAAGAGTTTTAGTCCGTGCTCTGCCGTCAGCTTTCGCGCGCACCACCGTGCCATGCGTACAACTTGTGGGCCGATGGAGGCAGCCCTGGTGAGCGATAGTTCAAGTTTTCATCATGATTGGTGTTTTTTCAACTGAAAGCCCACAGCCCAGCTGCCGGGCGGGATAAATAATGGCAAATGCCAGGTTGATGTAGTCCCATGGAAAAGTAGTTCGGTGAGGGCGCACGGGGTTGGGTCGTGAGCCAGGACTGAATCCGTACTTGTACAACTCATCTGAAAATGCAAGAGATCTCATCTGTGTAAAATTGCTTAGTTGCATTCATTATAGAGAATAGAGGTGGCAATGGAATGGAGCGGAACCCAGTGGTTGATTCAGGCAAAGACGCCCCGCAAATGACTCGACACTGGCATCCCCCCGCATCCAACGCTCCCTTATTATCAAGGCATTTGGGTAGCAGTCCCCGGAAGGAAAAAAAAAAAAAAAAAAGGTACCTAGAAAACAAAATAACTCTGCCCGTTGGTTTTTTCTGATAGCACCAAACCCGAAAATGGTACGTCTTGCTTTATAGAACCACAGGTTGCCCCAATTAACCTCTCGGCACAGGGGAGCACTACGCCGCGAACGCACCTTGCGTTCCACTACGATGCCAAGCTCCATAAGCTCGACGCTGTCGTCTCCTCAGTCCGCCCCTTTTCTGCGCTCGAAGACGCCAACCGCGCCCTGTTCAAGCAAGGGACTGACCAGCACTTCGTCATTGTCACCGACAAGACTATCTTCCACCCCCAGGGCGGCGGCCAGCCATCGGATGAAGGAGCAATCTCCCACGGACCGGCTGTCTTTCGAGTGAGCGCTGCGCGCACCGACGCCGTGCACGACGGCCAGGTGCTACACTTTGGCCACTTTGAAGCCGGTGCCGACCCGTCCAGCTTCGCCGTCGGCGATGTGGTGGAGCAGGCCGTCGACGCCGACAAGCGCCTGCTGTACTCGCGACTGCACACGGCCGGCCACGTGCTCGGCGCCGCCGTGCGGCACCTGCTCGAGGCCGAGGTCCCCGGCTTCGACGAGCTCAAAGCGTCACACGTTCCTGAATCCGCCTCGTGCGAATTCCAAGGCTCCATCGAGGGCAAGTGGAAGGAGCCAATCCAGCGCAGACTCGACGAGTACATTGCGCGCGCCATGCCCGTCGAGATTGACTTCTGGGGCGAGGACGACTTCCGCGCCAACGGACTCGAGAGGCTGATTCCCGACAGAAGCCTGGCGCCGCCGGGCGAGAAGTTCCGTGTCGTCAAGATTGTCGGTGCCGAGGTATATCCGTGTGGTGGAACACACGTCGAGACAACAGACCTATGTGGCGAGACTAAAGTCAAGAAGATCTCGAGGAGTAAGGGCACATCAAGGGTGTCATATACCGTAGTCTGAGTGCTTCCATGAGTATTGTTGATAATGCATATAGAAAGACACGTCTTAGCTTACCTGGATATTTACGACCCCGAGGAAGTCATCACGGTCACTGGCATTATTCCCAAAGGCACCGCTGTTCCATGACACTCACCGTGACATCACACATAAATCACTACAGTAAAGAAAGGGAGGTGGGATAATTTGTATATTTGCTGGGAAGCTTGAGGTGGTACAGTCGGGCACCGGAAAATCAAAACGGCAAGCTGATGTACCCTACCCAAGCACGCAATGATTCGATGTCGGGACTATACTAAAACCTGTCTTTGTGTGGATTAACCACTGTCATGAAGCCCGTCAGCTCTGTCCTGGGGTCTGCAGACGGCTGAAGCGTTGTGACCGGCACCAACGAAAGATCACCTATGACTGAAATCAGCGATGGACCCTCAGCGGCCACGCCTTAGGGCCCGGTTCGGTTTCACTGTCGGTGGAACATACCTGACCGCTTCCTCGAGGTCTGATACTTGCTGTTCAAGGTCCTCATTATGCTGCTTAAGTCGTGCATTCTCCTTCTCAAGTTCCACATACTCGTGGCGAGGAGTCGTGAGGCTGCACATGCACTTCCTGCTCTCATCCTGGAGTGCCGAATTTTGCCTCCTCAGCCCTGCATGTGCCTGCTGGATGTTTCCAAAATCCTCAAGAAGATCCCAATTTCTGAGCTCGAGTTCTTGACGCTCCCCCGCGGCTTCCGTAGCGTCTTTTTTTAGTCCTTGGAGGTTTTCGCAAAGTGACATAATGTGGCAATGAGCTTGGTGTCCCTCAGTTCTTCATCTTCCTCCGGCTGGTGCGCCTCAGATTGCTGCTCGTCTTGCGGCTGCGGGCTTGCGCTTCTTGACATTTCCGAATCTCTGTCTTTGGGAGAAAAGTCGAGAGTGCTGGGGGAGGCTAGGCTCCATGAATACCCGCGACCGTCCTGTGAGTTTTCGGATGCCATGTTGATGGTGAAAGAGAACTGGGAGCGACTTGGAGAGATTTGGAAAAGATCTGGAAAAGATCTGGAAGAGATCTGGAAGAGAACAAGAAGGTGACTGGGATTTGAGGAACTGTTGAGAAGTGCGGTACTGCCGGTAGGGGGGATCGGCCTGATTTTATAGTGTTATGTGTAGAGTAGGCTTTGGTTCGGCCGGTTTACTCTCTGCGCCCCCGAAACCTTTCGACCTGTACACAGGCGGGCATCTTGACTTTCAACTCCCTCAAACTCTCGGAAGTAGGTTAGCATTCTCAATCACGATGGAAACGTCAGCCACTTCCCGAGTATCAAGACATGTTTCCCTTTCTTGCCAGATAGCAATGATTCCCCAACATGTATTGAGTTCAGCTGAGAGGCAAAAGGGATGGGTAAAACCGTAACGTCATTGAAGTCATTGAGGCCACGATCTTTATTACCCTGGTTCGGAAAGCCAACGGGATGGGTGACTGGCAAGAAGAAAGTATTCATGTTTCGTGTTAGCAAGCCCACTCCCAGAGTCGAACTGAGGACTTCATCATGTCGGAATCTTGTATTAGGATACTAGTGATGCGCTCTACCACTGAGCTAAGCGGGCTCCGGTGGATCGTGAGAATCCACTCGTGGTGTTGAGAGGAGCCAGGTTTCGGTGTATATGGACCTGATGCCACCCTCTCCATCCAAGCGGCGAACATTTCTCCACCGGCTAGCCACTGCACAAGAGGCTCTTTTGAATAAAAAATCTCCCCAAAGCCGAGTGGGTCGAGGCTTGGGGGTACCTTACTTTGGGGGCATCTGTCAAAACTCTAATCATCAGGTTGAAGTTCAGGGGAATGCTGGGTGCGAAACAGATTGTGGATTAAATAATCGACTTCTTTACAACAGCAACCATTGGAGGATCCATCTGGTTTTAACTTGTCAGTGCTTACAGCTCCGTGCACTCGCAGATGCATTAGCGCGCTTACATCCGAAATCATATCACTTCCGTGACCTTCCTAATTTGGTCAATGACTCTCAAGGCTTTGTGCGGCTATAGTCATTATTTTGGGCAAAATCAGCTATACCTTAGCGAACCGAGCAGAGTCACCACCCCCTTGAGATCGACGCTGACACATCCACCATTGTAGCCCGTGAATAGAGGCTTCACGAAGTGACTCATTCAACCAAACCCAGCTCGTAAAAGATGGAGCAGCACATGTTTTGGTGGGAATTAATTAATATTCCAATTACAAGTCTTGGTATATCCCAACTTGAATCTGTCTGTACTGGAGTTGCATAAAATAAGTTTGTTGCCCCCCGATGGATTGATTGCCTTTGAGAGAGGTCACCACGCTCAACAATCGGCTGAAATTTCTATGATACCAGAACAACATCCCACCTAAATTCTGAGCATAAAAACTCAACAAAACAGATTATAGTATCGCACCCATCATCCCCCATCATCTCCCATCAGCACCGCTATCATGCCTCTGCCAGTCTCGGACGCCCCCCAGATTGCCTCGTACGCCATCCAACCCTCCGCGCCATCCCCGACATCCCTTGCCATCGAAGTCAGCCAAGCCGTCCACCGAATCAACCTCATCAACGCCTGGGGCCCGTCCGGCCCCTCGCCCGGCCACCAGGTCCTCGAGATCGGCTGCGGCCAAGGCACCTGCACAGCGGCCCTCGCGGCCGCCGTCTCATGGCCCCCCGCATCGCCCCCCGCCCAGGGTCCCATCAACGGCCACATCACCGCCCTCGACCCCGCCTCGCCCACCTACGGCGCCCCCTTCACCCTCGCCCAAGCCCAGTCGCACCTCTCGGCGGGGCCCGTCGGATCCCTGATAACCTTCCACCGCGCCGACCCCGTCGCCTTCCTCGCCGCCAACCCGGCTCCCAGGTGGGACACGGCCATCCTCGCCCACTGCATCTGGTACTTTCCCTCCCCGTCCACCCTCCCCGAGATTCTCACCGCCCTGCGCGGCCGCGTCAGCCGCGTGTGCATCGCCGAGTGGGCGCTGCGCGCGTCCCAGCCCTCGGCGGCGGCACATGTGCTTGCCGCGCTGGCGCGCGCGACGTTGGAGGCTCACAAGGTGGAGAGCGAGGAGAACATTCGGAATGTGGTGACGCCGGCGGGGATCAAGGACGTCGTGCGTGAGTGTGGGTGGCGAGTCGAGAGCGAGGGGTTTGTGGTCCCCGAGCGTGAGCTGGCGGATGGGCGGTGGGAGGTTGGCAGTGTGGTTGATGAGGGATTTGTACAAGAAGTTGAGCGCGTCGAGGGTGACAGGGTGAGGGCGTTGTTGCGGTCGGCGAGGGACGCGACGGTTTCGGCTGCCGAGGCCGTTGGTGGGGTGAGAGGCGTGAGAAGTATGGATGTCTGGGTTGCCACGTTGGTGTTGGACTGAGGTTGCTTGATTCGTAAATGGAAGTAGGATGGGACAGCGCCCATGAAAAAAAAAAAAAATCTTTTTTTTTTTTCAACTGTTCATTGTTTTAGCTTTACCTAAGAAGTCTTCAATCAAATTTGATTCTATTCTTTGGACGACATCGTTTATGTGGTTCCCTATACTTAGGTAACCCGGAGTTGGAGAGAGAGAGGTTATCTCACTTGATTGGAATATCATAGATATCGAACTGCAGTCATTTATTCGCAGCGTCCCTGCTGCTCTGTGAAACCCACCCGCCAACGCTCGCAAGAGCCACAGCCGCTCAAGCGAGGGATATTGCCGACGATGATATATTTATGTACAAGGGAGTGCGTCTAGAGGGCTCCTGGCCTGCGTCGAGGCATTTCCTCGGTGTCGCCTCGCCCCTAGAAAGTAAACCCAGACCAAACCCGGCCTCCTGGGGGAGTATAGGTGGTCTCCTTGCCCATGTAGATGTCGACCTGCCCAGCGTCAGCCACGGGATCCATCGTTAATCTAACTGGGGACTGCTTACAGTAATTCCAGGGTCGCTTTGAGGCGCGTATCCCGGGATGGGGTAGAGGAAGTCTGCGGGGGGAGTTGCTGTCCCGTCGCCAGTGACGACTAGTTGAGCACACTCGGCATAAAACTGTGGCGTATTTGCTTGATGGAGAGCGAGCAGCTCGTGGCGGATGATGTAATTGCCTGGCGCAATGTTGCTTGGGATTGCGCTGCTCCACTTGAGGTTCTTGACGACGATAGCAGTGCCCCAGTTGTTCGAGTCCAAGACGCCCCCCCACATACCCATCTCATCAATCTTGAACCATCCTTTCCCGTCACCGCTGCACGAGGCAAACTCGCCGTCGCACTTGAACATCCATACCATGACTGGGCCCTGCTGATGCGTCCATTGCTTCCATACGGCCGTGACATTCTCGCCAGCCTTGACGGAGGCGGACAATGGCGCCGACTGACCGCCATTGCAACGTATCTTGGGGTCCGAAACGGTCAGAGTTGGGTTGTAGTCTGGCCACTGACGCTGGATCGTCTTGATGCTTGTTGAAGGAGCGAAGCCCTCGTAGCCAGGAAAGTCTGTAGAGCCGATGATATAGCTGGTAACCGCACCGTGGCTAGCGACGAGTGGCGCAAAGGCCAGCACGAGAAGATCGAAGCGCATGGCGGGCTTGAGTTGATAAAATAGCTTGAAGAGCTGTGAGCAAAGGAATGGGAGTCTTCGGAAACTGAATGAAGCTGAAGCTACAGAATAACAAGGACAGGAGAATGTGCGCATTCTCCTTCTTATACCTGGCCGGTGGCCCTTGGTAGGATGTGATCTGGGATTGGCAAGGTAGTAGGATCTGGATACGAAAAAAAATCTGGTATATCATAGTGCCCCGCGTGGCATGTAGAAAGACTCGTCCGTGGTTTGCGATGCCACGGTGGGCTGCGCCAAGGGATAATATCTTAGCATTAACCCACACCTTGCCCCCTCATGGCTCACTATGCCTAACGAAGACCGGGATATTGGGTAACTGGCATAGCCAAGAGGCAAGTTCGCCGTTGGGTTACGGTCCGGCTCCAGCTACGGACGGTCCGGGACAGCCCACTGTGGGCAACATTAAATTAGATTGAGGTGGAGGGTGGGTACCGAGCAAAAGCCAATAAGGCTGCGATCTTCAGGAAACATACAACCCTTAGAGGGACGAAAACAGGGGACTGGCGCCCCGAATGCGGCTGAGTAGGACGTCAGCATCAACGAGAGCTGGTTCTTAAGCCGAGCCCTCTGGTTCCCATTGACGATTATAACAAGAAGGCTCGTGGTGTGGTTGAGTGGAGTGCGGGAACAGCTCCAGGAGCGACTGATTGGGCAACAGTGGGGAGGAATGGGCGGCAGACGTCTCGTGTAGAGTGCTGTGGCATAATCAAGGGCAAACTAGTCGCATGGATTGGGGAATTGAGAGCCAAGCAGAAACGGCACAGCTGAGAAAGCAGTTGGAAAAGATGCAGAAGGAACATCAGTGCTGGGCTGACGGCCGGGCCTTTCAACAGCCCGTTTTCACCAATTTTTGAGGGCGTCTCGATCGAGGATCAGATTGAGGACGCGACCTCGTTTGTTGCTGGGAATTCTCAGGGCTGCTAGCTTGGTCCGTGACACTGACATCGAAATGATCCGCATTGATGGCGTGAATGTGTGGATGCAATGGTCGCTTGTGGAGGCGGAAGCAGTCAGCCCTCCCGGCCCTGACTTTTTCCGCCACAGTGGATCGCCTGGAATCGAGCTTTGCGTGGGGTCTGCAGGTGGGTAGCGAACACCGCCACCCGCACCCCCATAGCTTGGCGACAGGCGGCTCTGTTCGTGGCCAACGTCATCCTGGCGGAGTTGGGCGTTCGATCGAGACCGGCTCACACGAAAAATTATGGAATAGCATCATCCTCTGCATTGAGAACCTTTGAGTCCAAGCCAGATGGGCCACTGTAACGAGTGATGTTGACCTATGCCTTTTCTCAAACCGCGTGTGCGCCTGTCGATTCAGGGGCCCGTGTTGCCTGTGAGATACACACAAACGCGCCGGGGAGCCCGATGTCTTCAGCTACCTTAGGTTCTTGTGGACGCCGTCTAGGTCCGCAGCGCTTGAGTAGAACGGCTATTTGAGCCGCACCTTTTTCTACTGGGATTTGTGTGCCGCATTGTTCCCTCGTCAAAATCATGGATTGGGCCGAATGCCTATAAATTAATCTTGTTTGCTTCTCATCCGTCATCAGTTAGTTAGCTCCTGGAACACGCCTCCATGTTTGTGAGGCGGTAACACGAACGGGGAATGGAATAAGGGAGGTAAGTGCACGTGAAGTAGGGGGTAGGCGGGTCACTCTGAGACAGGTGCGACTGGACTGGAATCCGGCCCAAGTGCCTACCAGGGCTGCCAAAGGTGAGTGGTTTGGGCAGTTGCGACGGGATGGTGCATCTCACAGCCGTTGCCGTATCACACAAGGTGAACATGTCCGCAATTTTGCACCGCCTGGCCGCTGGTCGCTGGCCCTGGCTTTGGGGCATATACCAGGCGTTCCCGTGGCCATTTCCAATCCTATTGGCATCAAGAAGGCGACTTCGAGAGCCAGCTCCATGCCCACCTCGTGAGGTTGAGGTCCAGCGAGACCCACCCACCTTGTTTTCCATCTGAGGTGTAGCTGCGTTATCTTGGGCGGCTGCGGCGTC